GTGAAGGAGACAGAGGCGAATCCACACTTTGGAGAGGGAGTGCACGTGCACTCGCTAACTTCCAAAAAAAAACATATGTATATCTATTTTGAAAAACTAGCAGAAATTAGAATATAGTTAACAATGCACCCATGTGGAATTCAGGGGGTTCCCTAGTTTTATTTCTGTTTTTCATGTTTTAGGCTTTTTTTAATTTTTTTTTATAACCGAGAAATTCGTCTGTGACCCCTCCTTTGGACCAATCACAGCCTTCTAAACTCGGTGGATAATGCCTCCCCTCTATCATTCTCCACTTAAATACCGGGTTTCGCTTTGCATTGTGTGGGGCTTGAACCTGCGACCTAAGCCACAAATCCTCCACCTTTTGCCACTCGAGCTAGGCCTTGGGGGCGACGTTTTAGGCTTATTTACACGTTTACACTTTTTTTTTTTTTAGTTTCATTTCTATTTTTCACGTTTTAGGCTTATTTACACGTTTATATTTTTATTTTTTGAACCTCCTGAACAAAAATTCAGTTATGTTTTTCATGTTTTAGGCTTATTTACACGTTTATACTTTTATTTTTCGAACTTCTGAACGAAAATCCTAAATCCGCTATTGAGTATAAGAGTGTCCTTGTGCTACTGGTACAAGCTAGAGATATCATCCTACACCAATGTTCAAATCCAACTAAATCTAAATTTATGAGAATCTGATACAAATATCAAATATCAAATTAGAAAAACAAAAAAAAAATGGGACTGCATATGATCAAAATGGGTCAGTAGGTGGACTAATTTGCACCTATCCTCAAATATAAGGGACCAATTGTGTCTATTTCTCGTACTTAATTAGTCAGTAATTACTTGGTGCCCAATGGAAGAAGGCTTTGACATCAGTGTGGATTTTTTGGGTAATGGGTGGCCGGACGATGGAATGGGCGGCGAGAGCAAACCACCTGGGTGGTCTACCGCGGAAAGTGGTGATCACGGCGATAGGTACTTTCGCTAAGGTGGTGGCCAATCTACTGAACACCACCACCGTGCACAACGGCGACACCCTTATCCGGCTAGTTCGATCCCGCCCAGCCGGCGTTCCTCTCCTCACCGTCAGCAATCACATGTCCACGTAAGTCACTTTATCTCTTCATTAGGAGCTCTCTGTGATAGAAAAAAACTTGTTTTTCTGATGTATGCTTTCATTGAAACCTTTGCTAGTTGAAATTACGGAGAAATTGTTTATTGGGGTTATTGATTGTTGGCTAAAATACCCATTATTGAGATAAATGCTTAACAGACAATGAATTACAGATTTTTTTTTGTGTACAATCCGTTTAATATTTTTAGTTCAATCTTTGTTGATATTGGTATGAAATGTGCCCTGATATAGTGGAATGCATATAACTGAACTCCATTTTGGGGTTGAGGCATATTTGATTGTTGATTTAATCATTGATAGAGTGAATTTCTGGAATTCTTTGATTGTTGTAGTCATCGTCTCTTATTTCCTATTGTGTGTCTAACTGCAGGTTGGATGACCCAGTTATGTGGGCATTCAAAGGTTTTCCAATTTGTGATGCAAAGCTGGCTCGTTGGGTACTGGCAGCGGAAGACATATGCTTTAAAAATACAGTATTGTCATACTTTTTCCGGATCGGTGTGTAATCTGTTGGTCTGGTACACTTCTGTTCTTGTATTTTCATGCCCTCTCTTTTGGTGTTTTTATTACTTTTACAAACTTTATATCGTAGCGGGATATATGGTAGACCATTCCTCTGTGTGTTTGGTGGGTGATTTGGAAGGAGAGGAACCAAAGATGTTTGAAAGTGGACATGTATTTTCATCGCAGATGCATTCCCTATGAGAATATTTACACTATGAAATACAGATGTATTTCCCTTTTGGGCTTTTGGTGTAGGCTTGAAGATGTGAAATACAGTTAATAGGATGATAGGCTTTCTCAGCTTCCTACATTGATTGTAAAGGAACTGATCTGTATGTAATTTTTGGTACAATCCTTGTGTGTCATTCATACAACCTTACCATTCCCAAAAAACAAACTCCATATCGTAGTAGGGTTCGAAAGTGAAAAGAAAAATGCTAGTTGCATTTTTGTAGCAGAATATTAGGTTCCCTTAGGAAGGACGGAGCATGTTTTTGCATATATATTCTACAAGAACTTTGAGAATATCTGGAGATTATTTACTTAAAAGAAGTTCAGTAGAGAAGGAGCTTCTGGGTGTAGGAATGATGCAATAAATGTCTTTAGAACCAGTTGTATAATCGAAATAAAAATGTGTACCAGTTATGCATATAAACTGAAGTAGTCTCTCAAAACTCAAGGTTATATCTTAGTGGAATAGGACTGTGATTTAGCTTGAAACTTCCATATTAGCTCTTACTCTAATATGCATGTGTGCTATGGTTTCTGTGTTATCACTTGGATATCAAGCTTTTCATATTGAGTGGTTATTCAGATCTGCACCCAAGCTTCTGTACAGCAAGCTTTCATATTGAGCTATTATCCATATATGCACCTATGTTTCTGTTTAACATGCTTCTTTATTGATCAGTTATTCAGATCTGGATCTGTCACTGTTCTCCACTTACATGCATATCAGTCAATTTTATATTTTCTTATTTCCCTTGCTAGAGCGAGAAGTGGAAGACTCTTAATTTGATAGGCATTAGGGGAGTTGAGGTTTTTTGGTTTCATTCGCAACAGACCTACATGAATCACTCAATTTAATACAAACATAATTGTTGGTGTGGGTTTCTTCTCACTGTGTGAAGATATGCAGGTAAATGTATACCAATAACAAGAGGGGGCGGAATATATCAAGAACATATGAATGAAGCTCTTGATCGTTTGACTAACGGAGCCTGGGTAATACGTCTTTTATCCCTTGCCTTGAATTCTTTCATCTAGTTATGGACGATAGTGTTAAATTTTCTAGATTTCTGCTTAGTCCAATTGATCTTTTTTTACACTCTATGGGTTATTTTGTTACACTAAAATGGATATGCATATGATATGTTATTCTGGAATTGAGGACTGAATTTCAAATGATCTAGTGTTGCTTAACGTAACCTCCATTTCATCCAGAATGCATGAGAATATTGTATAATGTTCTCAGCAGTTCCTATTAAGTTTTGAAATGACATGTTTGGGCTAAAGACTAACTTCCAAATGGGCAGCTGCATACATTTCCAGAAGGGAAGGTCTGTCAAGAAGATGCTCCTATAAGACGATTGAAGTGGGGAACTGCCAGTCTCATTGCTCGTGCACCCGTGACTCCAATTGTCTTGCCAATTATCCATCATGGTTTTGAAAAGGTAGGTTCTTGACATAGTAGCCTGTCCATACACAGAAATGAACAATGCGGGCTAATGCCTAAATAGCAATGGACAATGGATCCATTTGGTTTTGGCTGTTTTTGTTAGTAATACACTATGCACAATAGGTAGGCCTTCTTAGGATGTTCGAATTATTGTGATTCTGTAAGTATAGTACCTGTCTGGTTATATATGTTACTTTGGTTGGTTAATTCACGTGCTTCTGTGTGGAACTAATTTTATTGGAAGAATAAGGTAGTGTAGCTTAGAGGATTAGAGGTCATGCAGTTCTTAAAATGTTTATAAATCACCTCGTTGCATTTATGGCACTTCTTCATTGTTGTTACAAAGTCCATTGATCCTTTTGTCAACTTCACTAATAAAGTGACACGCCTCGCCAATACCATAGTTGCTTTCTCCTTTCCCTCTGGTCCCATCCTTAGAAAAGAAAATAAGAGCGGCCAAAATGCTGTGACTGTCATAACTTTCAGCTAACAATCTCCTGCTCTTCTTTATGCTCACTCCATTTAGAGGAGATAAAATTCAGAGTTACTTACATATGCACGTGTGCATTGGTCGTAGTTCTGTGGACACGTCTATTTTCGTTTCCAAATTAAGTACTGCTTATGAGGTTGAACCAGCTTTTATTTGAATAATTCACATCCTTGGGATTGTGATACATTCTGTGATTTGATCAATTTTCAGGTTATGCCTGAGAACTATGCTTTTGGGAGAAGACCTCCAGTCCCTTTATGGAACCAGGAGATAAAAATAGTTGTTGGTGAGCCAATGGAATTCAACCTTCCTGAACTGCGAGAGATGGCTCTATCTCAATCCCGAGATTCATCTTTTTCCAGTGGGCAGTGGCCAAGAAACATCCTTGGGGGATTGGACGAGGCAGCACAAAAATGTCTGTACATGACTATATCTGATCAAATCCGAACTACCTTGGAAAACTTGAGGAATTTTAGTAAATCTTATGCGAAGGTAGAGCAATAAAGTAGGCACTTTCCAAGCATTTAAAGGGAATTCATAAAGTGCATCTGTTTTGAAGGTCTTGTAACTTTTCATTTCAAGATTTTGATAGTTTAAGGGTAGACTTCTCATCCCTTAATTGAGGATGCAGGGTAATATTTTCCCGATATCATCCTTGTAGCTGCATTTTTTGCATTTTGAAATGAAAGATATCACATTAATTCTTCAAAACTGAGAGTTGTAGATTTCCTGATTGACTATATTGCCTCAAACCTTCTTTTGGTTGCTGACAAGACACATTCTTTACCAGGAATGGTAATAAAGGAACCATGTTTATGTGTCTAAAGGTGAAACATAAGATGGACCATTCCTAGAGAGTGGATGTGCAAAAAGCATTGTAAGAAAAAAGCCTTACTGAATTTCTTCCAAGGAAAATCTATGTTCAAACGCCTATTAAATTTGTACAACCAAAGGGTTGAAAGGTAAAATTCTATTTGATGTTTCATATTCATCCAACAAATGCAAGACATGTATTTTTTAGTCACAACTTAATTACGGAAAAATGATTAGTATGGTGTAGACACCCGATGATGCGGGATACTAGATTTTAAAATACTGCACGGTGGCTGGCGCTCCTTCCAGAGAAAAAAAAAGAAGATAGATAAAACTGAGTACCAAGATGATAAGCCAATGATAGTTGTTCTACAAATATGCAGCATCCTCCGCTATTTCCTTCTCCAGTTCCCAGCCCTGAAAATAGTAGAAGAAACTGTGTCATAGCTTTCACTACTCCACAAAACTACGCACCAAGATTATCTGAGCTCATACACCTCAAAGGATGGACACCCCTTTGGTGTCCTACCGTCATTGTTGAATCTACGGAACAAACAATCTCTTCCATTCATCACTACCTCAACCCACAAGCTGGTATCGATGAACCCAATTCGTTTCTTGAAGAATTTTCAGCTCTAGCATTCACTTCAAGAACTGGGATTACAGCTTTTTCACAAGCTTTATCTATTAACCCCACACCCCCATTAACCCCAAATGGAGAAATTCTCACAATTGCAGCTTTGGGTAATGATGCTGAGCTTCTGGATCGAGAATTCATTCGAAAAATGTGTGAAAACCCTGAAAGAATTCGAGTTTTGGTTCCTTCAATTGCAACCCCATCTGGGTTAGTGGAGGCATTAGGATTAGGCCAAGGGAGAAAAGTGTTATGCCCAGTTCCGTTGGTGATTGGGTTGAATGAACCACCTGTTGTGCCGAAATTCCTTGAGGATTTATCGAAAAGGGGATGGATTCCAGTGAGATTAGACGCGTATGAGACGCGATGGGCAGGGGCGAAATGCGCGGTGGATGTGGTGACAAAGAGTGAAGAGGAGTGTGGATTTGATGCAATTGTGTTTACTAGTACTGGAGAAGTGGAGGGTTTGTTGAAGAGTTTGGAGGAATTTGGATTGGATTGGTCAATGGTGAGGAGGAGATGTCCAAGAATGGTAGTGGCTGCTCATGGCCCTGTTACAGCTGCTGGTGCTGAGAGTTTGGGTGTTGGCATTGATGTGGTAAGTTCCAATTTTGGTAGCTTTAATGGTGTTGTTGATGCACTAGCTCATAAATGGAAATCATTGGAAAATCAAGAATCTTGAAATTTGGTTTTTGGTTTTGGTGTGAATTCTTTGTTACAAAAATCAAGAATCTTGAATTTGGTTTTTGCTCATCATTGAAAGATTTGATGGAGCTAGAATTGTTCTAAATGTGTCTAGCAAACCTCTTTCAAATGGATTAACAATTTGCTATTTATAGCCAAAATTTCTTTAATTGTCTAGTCACAGCTTTTTGTAATTCTAGATATGTCTTTTTGGTTGGAAGTTTTAGTTCCAAAGTTTGATAGAATTGATGTTCATGTGGATGCAACATTTCTCATAAATGCAATCATTGGAAAATCAAGTATCTTGAATTTGTTTTTGCATTCTACAAATAGGCACATCCGGTACACTAAGCTCCTGCTAAAAATAGTGTTACACTTGATCACACGAACCAACAGCTACAGTTGTGCTAAGGTTATGTTGGTGTTGTGTTGAGTTCCAAGTTTAATAGATTTCCTAGTGTTGGGTATAACCAAATCTTCTGAGCAAAGAAGAAATAGAAAAGGAAGAAGGGAGCGAGGTTCCAGAATTCATCTAAGCAATTAAGAAAATAAGGAGACAACTTTGTAGCAATGGACTAAATACCTCACAAAGTGCACATACTCCTTTAGCCAGGGTCCCAAAGGTTATTTCTAACTCGTCTTTCCACCATGGCCATACTAAGAGTCTTTCAGAAACAGCCTTGGTAAAGTCTGCATCTATCTCTTCAGACCCCATTTAGAGGGATTTTACTGTAGCCACGTTCGTTACAACACCTCTAACCTCGTCATAGACAAATAGAGATCCATTTCTAGTATTGGGCTACAAACTCTTTTTGGTTTGGGCTGCATTTCTTTATGCAAAATGGAAATGATTTGAGGGTGGACTTTAAAGAAAAACATGTAAAACTCCCCACGTTCTTGGGAAATTAATGCACAATTACTGTTTATTGAAAATGCTTAGCAGAGTCATTTTAATCCTACAATTGATTAAATTAGGATACAATCATAGTGATTTGACATCACCTTTCATTTAAAAGTGAAAAACAAGAAAAGAGAAAAAGACAATCACTTTTTAGCTTTATTTTGGCCTCTCCTCAAAATCATAACAAACACTTTCAGTAAAGGCACATGGTGGATCCAAATCTTCAATTATAAAAAGAGTCATACAAAAAATACTGTTCCATTTTTTTCCGATAAACCATCTGTTCAAGTAAAATGAGAAGTTGATTACTAAAAGCACAAGTATTTACTTATTCTTTTATCTATCTTCTACGGAATTTTTTTAAAAAAAAGCTCGTCAAACTTGTTGATTATAGATTATAATATGAAAAAATTAGTGAAAGAAATCAAGGATAATTAATCTAAGCAGGCTGCCATAATGTAAACTAGATTGTCTTCAAATATTTGTACAATTGTCAAAATAAAGATTGTCTGGCCTACAAAATGAAATTGCCAATAAAATATTTAAAACTAAAGCAAATTCGTAGTGCATTAAATATTGACTTAGTAATCAAAATTAATAAAAAGTTATGCTCCCAACTTTCTCATGTTTGTCTTCAATACAAAAGCACTCTAACTTTGACTTTTTATGGTACTTTTCTATTTAATTTGTCTTTTTGATTTTGATTTAATACGATTTCAAAATGTCATCTAATTTTATACGAAAAGTGTTAGAATTAAAGAGTTATAAAAAAGACGCTATTTTTAAATAGACTAAAACTAAGACAAACAAATTAAAACGATAAATATAGTATGTGTTTCCCACTTTTAGTTGTTGGTACTATTGGATTTTGCCTAGTCATGGCCTGCCTTCTTCTAATAGTCACAACTTTCATATACCTAAAAATAAATAAATGGTTTTTAATGGTATTGCTGGCTAAGTAGTATAGATATGTGGAAATTCTCGTGAGCTTATTTAATTCCCTAGCTATCAATTATTTATTTTTATTAGCTCCAAATCCAAATTCATTTATTTATTTTTCTTCCATTTTGGTTTTTTGAGGTTTTGCAAGCCGGCATTGCCGGCAATATAACTGTGTTTCACTAGGATATTCATGTCACATTCATTTCCTTTAACAAATTGTAGATAATAAAGTCATATTGGAACAATTTAAATATTATTTAATTAAAGATTTGTAATTTATCCTCGCGATAAAAATCATGAAATAGTGACAGATTAAATTCTTTTTTTAGAAAAAGGAAAAATTACACTTTATGTCTACTTGGAGAAACTATTTACGTCACATATACTACTAAAAACACATAATTATTCATAGCTAAATGAGATTAGCATAGGATTTTTGTTGTTTAGCTATAGAATTTTGTCCGTCACTAATTTCTTCTTTTCTAATAGTACATAGTTCAACATAAAATATTATACAACATTATATATAGTTGATCGGTTTAGCCCATATTTGTGTATACTTTTATAGAAGGTTAACACAATACATATGTAATGCTTATAATGTTATATAGTATTGTATATATTAAATTACGTGGTGTAATATTTTATGTTGGACCATTTATACTTAATATGGAAACATGACATGCCTAATTAAACAAAGATTGAACTTTTTTTCACAGATCGACTTCGAGTATGCATCAATGCAACGATCATATGATGTTTGTTAATTTCTAGTTGATGAAAGTGATATATTATATGTGGCATAAATATACGTAGGACACCATATAGGACGTGAATTGTCACATAGAATGCTACGTAGGAGCATGTGTCTACTTTTTCCACTTTATACAAATTTAAATATTTTTTTTATACTTATAACACATAAATATCAGATGAACTAAATTAAATGTCACGTTTACGTATATATTATGAAGCAAAGAGAGCAGTAGGGACTCACATGACACTGACTTTACATTGCATGTCCTTATTCATCTGTCACTATTAAGATGAACAGATTTAAAGGGGCAAGGAAGCTTTAAAACTATTAATGGTGATTTTGAACTATAAAAGATCATGGGAGTATTTATTATACTACCATAGGCCATACCTAGTACACCTTTCCGTCCCAATTTATTTGATATATTTTTCTTTTTAATTAATTTTGAAAAAAATGACATATTTTCTTATTTGACAAATATTTAACGATACTATCAATAATTAGCTCAGGTTACATCCATTTATTTGGCAAAAATCCACAAAAGTATATTTTTAAGGATAATTTGAAACATTGCAAAATCTTCCGATATTTTTTAAACACAATTTCCCAAAATTACTAGATAGAAAAAGAAAAGTTAGGACTTACATATTTGGGAATGATGGAAATCAAGATTATTATCCTTTTATCTCTCTTCTCTTTGAGAAATAAAATTGGAGTAAAAGTTAAATAATCTACTTAAGGGTTAATTAGATTATACTCCTATAATCATCTAATAATGAACATTTTCTTTTTTTTTGTTCAACTGCCAGTCTTAACAATGACCTCGCTCACATAATAACGGAAAATTTGATTTTGTTGCTCTTTACAAATTTATATTTTTAGTTTTATATCTTTTTATAGGAAAATTTTATTTAAAAGATAGTCATAATAGATCATTTTCTCCAAAATAATTATGTGGTATTTGTGTTTTTTATTTTTTATGTGGTATTTGTGTGAAAATTTCATGACTTGCAAATAATTAAAAACGTTTAGGCTCGTAGATTGCCATTTGATTATGAGAAACTTAACTTTAGTATAAACATAACTATGGTTTAAAGCTAAGGTTCATATAACATATCTCAATTTTTTCAGATTTTTTTTCTCAAGAAATTCAACTATCTTAACACAACGTCAATTTTCATTAACGATAGAAAATAAGTATCTGAAGAATATTCCTAATCCATATATATAAATAAATAAATATGATGAATCATATTTATTCTAATTTCCACGTACGCTAAATTGAGGATCTTTCTTTTATTTATACCAAGTAAGTAAAAGATAAATAATTTAATGAAATAATTCCTCAGTTTATTTTTTCTTTAAAAAAAAATTATGAGTCATTTCGAGTTTTTAATTTATTTTTTTTCTTGGAGTTTAGGCATCCATTACTTGCGAACATGTCTCTAATTTTGTCTATTTTGAGATTGAAATTTTCAAATTCCTCCAACTCACTCGGCCATGACACGATTGGATAGTTTGTTGGACCTACCAATTTCATTTTTCATGTTTCAAATGCCAGAATATATCGTAATACGTAAGGTGACTGAATTGGTACAATATGTGATAAATATTTCCCAATCATGTAAACATTTCTAAGTCAAACTCGTTGCGTTGTGTTTCACTAATTCAACAGTTCTATATTGTACAAGAATGAATTTATTCAGTGCACATATGAAGAGTAATGATTGTGGTATCTCCGGGATAGTAAATCTAATTATTATTGTAGTATTTATTTTATATGGCTGCAAAAACATATAAACTTTAAATTTTGAATCCATATCAACGCTTTCCATTAATTTGTAGTTTAGAAAGGTTGTTTTCAATACATTTTTTTTTATACTCATTTTCAATTAAAGAAGTAGGAGTGATTTTCAAAATACCCCTTCTAAGTCGACCATAATTGAAGAAACACAACGAGTCCATCTAAAATGCCACTTGAGGGTAAAAATGATCATTAACAAATTAAATATGTCTTAAAATAAACCAAAAAAAAACAACAAGGCATTACTTCATATTGTTACAATTAGTAAAATGTTTAAGAAGAGATAAAAAATATTTCCAAGATTAAAGCAATAAGATAATGATTTTTTTAATAAAAAAAGATGTTCGCAAAAGTTCTTAAAAGACACATATAATGTAGATGGTGTTTTTTAGTATTTTTCTTGCTTGCCACTTGATCTTTTTATGTATTTCAATCCAACTTTCCTTTCAACTCTTCAATATCGTTTTCATTCATTTTCTGGTTAAATTTTATGTTCTTGTTGAATTTTGTGATCTCATCTCAACTGTCTATCTAGAAAACAATTTTCTTATCTATATGAGATAATAACATTAAGATCTGCATATAATATATTCT